ACAGCGAAATTAAAGTGCGGGTGTGTGTATTCGTTTTTGATTTACTCTATTGGAATGGTACTTCTTTGGTTAAAAAACCTTACAGAGAGAGGCGTGAGATGTTACGGAAACATTTTAAGGTAAAACTGGTTTATTTTGATTGGTTTTTTTTTGTAAAGTTGGGTTTTTTTCGGAGGTTTTTTGATATTTTTGCATGTTCAGTTGGTTTCTGCTGGTAAATGGTTGGTTATTTTTTTACCAGGAGGTTGAAGGGTGTTTTGCGTTTGCCATCTCACGAGACACTGAGGATACGGAGGAAATCGGCGAATTCTTGGAGGAGGCAATCAAGGGGAATTGCGAAGGGTTGATGGTGAAAACTTTGGACGAAGATGCCACCTATGAGATCGCGAAACGTTCACATAACTGGTTAAAAGTTGGTTTTTTTGTGGTAATTTCGGGTTTTTGGTTATTTATTCGGAGGTAAACTTGTTTGGCGGAGGTTTTTTTAGGTTTTGGTTGCTTAATTTCAGGTAATTTTCGCATTTTTTGGGCTTTTTTTGAAAAAATAACCTGAATTTTTGGTGAATTTCAGTTGAAAAAGGATTATCTGGATAGTGTGGGGGATACGCTGNATCTGTTGGCGTGTTACGATGCTGATTCCGAGGAGTATCAGTCGATCTGCAAGGTATGTAAGACGTTTGGGAAGCTTTTCTTTGAAATTTTTGTGATTTCGGGTAGTTTCGGACAAGTTTCGGGTAGTTTTGGATAGATATCGGGTAGTTTCGGGTAGTATTTCGGGTAATTTCTGGAAATAATCGTGTAATTACTCATTCAGATCGGCACAGGATTGAAAGATGACGATTTGACATCGCAATACGAGCAATTTGCGAGTTTGCGGATTGAGAAGGTGCGGATTTTGGGGAGATTTCGTTGGATTGATTGATTTTTTGCATATTTATACTTGTATTTATTTATTTGCTTGCTTATTTGGGTATTTATTCGTTTAGTTATGTTTGAATTTTGCTTTTTTGGGCAGTTTTTTGCGGTGTTTTGCGTTTATTTGCGGAGTTTTTGCCGGGTTAGGTGATTTTTTTGATTGATTCTTGATTTTTTTAAGCTAACGAGGAGATTTTTTAAGTTAAGGAGGAGAATTTCAGGTTAAGTTGAGAGAATTTCAGGTTAAAATGGAAGAATTTCAGGTTAACTAAGAGAATTTTCAGGCAAAACCGTATTATTCGTATGATAGCACGCTGGCACCAGATCACTGGTTCGAGCCTGTGATCGTATGGGAGGTGAAAGCTGCGGATTTATCGATATCGCCGAGACATCACGCTGCGAAAGGAATTG